TGGCAGCGCAGCATGGGGGAGGCCCTGGGGGGTGCCCCGGGGGGCGGGTCTGCGGGGACTTTGGTGGAGGAGCCGAGGGGAGGAAGAAGCATGGGGAGCCTCACAGTCCGGGCTGGATCCGGAATCGGGGTCAGAGGGGCAAAGGCAGGGGCCCAGGCAGAGTGCTCACCTGCGCTCAGGCCCGTGGCCGACCCGGCGCCCGCCGGCTCCCCTGCCTTCAGGACGGAGAGCGTGTTCCAGACAGGCCCTCTCAATGGCGGAGTCAGGGCTGGCGGCGGGGGGCTCACAAATGTGCTCCGGGGAGGACACCGTTTCCGGCATCTTCCAGGCAGGGGGCATGGGGAGCACGAGTCTAGCCAGTTCACGGCAATCTTGGGCTCGTCTCTGTACCTCCTTGTGCCTCAGTTTCCAGGTTGAGAAGATGGGGTTGTCGAAGGGAAGCCCGCCCTAGGGGAGCCTGTCATTGGAAGGCTGTCATAAGGGAGAGAGACAGAGAAACAGAGACAGAGAGAGATGGAGACAGAGACCACAGACACCTGGACCCCAAAGAGGCCCAACTGAAAGGAGGAGGAGGGAAGACGGAGAAAACGTAGGAGCCCAGTGAGCGGAACCGGGGATGAGACAGGGAGTGGGGGCGTCGGGGACAGGAGAGGTCAGCTGGATGGTGGCCCCCCAGTGACTCAAGGGACACAGGGATGGCAGCCCCTGCCGGGGAGCTCTCCTGAGCTGGACGGAGGGCTCAGAGGCCACTTTGTTCTCTAAACCAAATTACAGGCCCCCAACCAAGCTCTCCCTTCAGACTCCAAGTTCCACTTAGCAGCCCTCACTGCTCAGAGCCACCGGAGGCCACTTCAAAGGGATGTTTGGTCCCATTTATGTCTTCAGGCCTTTTCTTTTTGAGAGAGAGGGAGGGAGAGACCTTGCGTGTGGCACACCAGCACTCTGGGAGGGACGGGGGTGGAGGGAAGGGGAGGGGAGGGGCAGAGAGGAGGGGCAGAGTATCCCAGGCAGCTCTGTACTGTCACTGCAGAGCCAGATGGCGGCGCTCGGACCCGGGAACCCTGGGTCTCTCCTGAGATCAGGACCTGAACACCCCAGGCGCCCCTGTCGTCAAACCTTTTAAGCTACATCCATAAAATGAACATATTCTACATGGTATCTGCTTTTTCAAATGTTGTGAAGTTTACAAAAATTTAATAATTATTACAAACTCAATAAATTAAGCTAAACAATACGGTGATTCTTTGGCTCTTCCCAACGTTCCAACGCTGTACGTAAAACGGTGCGTGGCTCCTACCCGGGGCTGCAAGTGCACACGGCGGTGTGAAAACGCTTAAAATATGAAGCACATACAAATTTTTGACAAAAATGGTAACATTTTGAGTTTGATTCTCTTTTAAATTTCTTCTTTAGTTTATTTATTTTTGAGAGAGAGCGCACGAGAGGGAGACAGGGGATACGAAGCGCTCTCCGCTCTGTCAGCACAGAGCCCGACGCGGGGCTCGAACCCATGAACCGTGAGATCATGACCTGAGCTGACATCGGACACTTAACCGACGGAGCCCCCCAGGCGCCCCGCTCTCTCTTAAATTTCTATGTGAATCCTAAATCCTCTTGGAGTCAAATGTCCCGTATGGACTAGAAAGAGTCACATCATGCGTGAAATGCCATCACCTAGAACAACCCTCCAGGTCGACCTCACTTCTGACGCCGGCTGCAGAGTCTGGGGTCCCTGGGATCACCCTCCGGAGGACCCCCAGCGCTCCCGGGAGGCGTCATGCTCACGGTTACGGTTAACACAGGGAAAGGACTCGCCACCATTTGCTAGGGCAAGTGGCTCATGGGGCAGGGCCCAGGAGTGTGCAAACCGTCCCCTCCCCGCTGGGTCATGGGCAGCGTCGGCTCCCTTGGCAGTGACGAGATGGCGCGCCCCAGTGTCGCCAACGGAAAAGCCCCGAGCCCCCACGCCCAAGGCCTTTGTCTGGCTTCCGTCCCGTAGAGCTGGTTCACTGCCCGCGTGGCTGACCTCAGTCTCCAGCCCCTTGGGAGGCCGAGCCGATGCCGTGTGGCCCAGAGTCCCGGGGGTACAAGCACACTGGACTCAGGACGTCCCGGGCTTGGCAGTGACCTCCCAGCAGCCGAGGGCAGGGTCAGCCCTTCGTTGGGCAGGGTGACGTTCCCATCGCCCCAAACAGTTCTCCGTGTGGCCTTCTGTCCCTCCCTCCCTCACACGTGTGGGTCCTTGGCTGCTGCCTGCGGACCCGAGCCAGCGCTCCCTGGGGTGGCTGTGGCTGCACGGGCCTCCCCCCTGGGCTTCTCTGGGCCTGAACACTACGGCACGCCCTTCCTGTCTCTGTGCCCTTCCTCTGTCTCACCAGCAGACAGAGACAGCGGCCTGGGGATGGCAGAGCACTCGGAAGGTCTTGAGGAAGCAGATAGAGCCCAGCCACCAGCCACATGCTTATGTGACAGAAAATAAGCCGTCTTGTTTGTCCTGCCTCTTTGTTATAGCAGCTTGGCCTCTCTCTGACTATTACACTTTCTCAAGCCCATTTCTTTCTGCAGTTTCCTCCTTTGTTTTTAATTTTTTAATGTTTATTTAGTTTGAAAGAGAGAGACACAGAGCATGAGCAGGGAAGGGGCAGAAAGAGAGGGAGACACAGAATCTGAAGTGGGTCCAGGATCTGAGCTGTCAGCACAGAGCCTGATGCGGGGCTTGAACCCACGAACCGGTGAGATCATGACCTGAGCCAAAGTCGGACGCTTAACAGACTGAGCCCCCAGGTGCCCCTTTGCCTCCTGACCCCCAGCAGCACAGCAGGGGGTGTCCTGAGCACCCGCTGCGGCCGGGGCGCCCTGCCCACGGACCCTCACACCAGCACTCTCTGCAGACTTGATTTTCTAGAAAAGGCATCCCTGGGACTTGAGTTCCCATCCACGTGGCTCAGAAGCCCCCCCCCCCCCCCCCCCCCCCCCCCCCCCTCACCCTCGGTCTGCAGGGTGAGCCCCTCAGGGCTTCNGCGCTCGGTCTGCAGGGTGAGCCCCTCAGGGCTTCTGGAAGTCCTGCCTCCAGTCCCCCCTCCGATCCAATCAAAGGGAGGCCAGCACAGCCCCTCCCTGTGCCTCAGTTTCCCCCATCTTCTAGTCAGGGGAGGACGCTGGGTGGTCTGTGACAATGGATGCACAGGACCGGGAGGGGCGAGGGAGGCGTGTGTTCGGAACATGCTGTTCCGGACTCGCAGGGTCTGGACCCGACCACCCCATGCCGCACCTGCCACCCCACCCCCGCTCCTTGCTCCGCCTCTGAGGACGCAAAGACTCAGAGCCACATCTCCAAGTACTCGAAGTGTTCTGTTCGGATAGCCTGTTTTCGCAATCACCCGATTACAGGAAGTAACTTCTTGTTAAAAAGAAAAAGCCCCTGCGGCTTCCAGCCTTTGACGTGAGCTGTGGTGTCGCTCCGGAGAAGTCCCTGCCTCCTAGGCGTCCCCGTGGGGCCCAGCGTCCTAGTTAGTCCCGTAGGGTTCCTTGCCCGGTCTTGTCAGCGCTGCCATTATTTAAAAGAAATAAAAGGCAAGAATAGGGAAGAGGTGGCCTTTTCACCAGGGAGCCCCACGCTCAGGGCCGCCAGCCCTCTCCGCGCGGAGGGTGACGACACTGCCCGTGGCAGGCGGTGCTTTCGGCTCCGGCTCATTTCCTGTCCCCCCAGGTCTCCTCTGCGTGCCCGGCAGGCTGCGTCCCCGACCCAGCGGGGGCGGCCCTACCCAGGCCCTACCTGCACCTGCCCTTGCCCCCCCCTGCGCAGCACCCCCTGGGGCAGAGCAGCCCCTCTGGAGGCGCAGGACCTGTGCTGGGCACTGACAAGCCCCTGTCCGTGACCGTGGCGCTTGGGACGGTCACTTTTACACGTCAGCCTAGATACGGAACCGCCCCGGGCATCCACCCGGACGCTCGGAGGCCTTCTGCAGGTATGACCGAAGCTCATGGTCTGTGGACTTTAAGGAAGATCGCCGAGGCGATCTGGGTGGGCCTGGCGCAATCAGTTGATGGGTCTTAAGAGCAGAACTAAGCCATCGCCTAAGAAGCAGAAATCCCACAGCAGCTCGGCCTGAGCCCGGAGTCCCAGCCCGCCCTGTGGACTTCACACGGTAGCCAGGCCCACAACTGACCAAGCAAACTGCTCACAACCAGCCGCCCACCATCCGTCCCCACGGGGCCTGCTCCTCCTCGAATGCCTGCTCGGATGGGGGCTTGAGCCGCCGCCAGGCTCTCTCTCCCTCGGTCTTGGGGGCCTGGTGACCCCACAGAGGCAGGTGAGGCCAACCCCCCACAAGGCATCAGATGGCCCCCATGTCTCAGTTCTTGAAGCCCGTCGTGCATTAGGGAAGTGCTGGTGTGTGCCCGTTCTGCAGGTGAGGGGCCACGCTTGGGGAGACCAAGCCTATGACCCAGGGCTGGTCAGGGTCACCTCCCAGCAGGAGTCTTGCCTCGCCCAGGACCCCAGGGCTCGATGCCCAAAAAGACCCCTCCCTTCTGGCCCTAGGCCTCTGTGTGGGCTGAGCCCTGGCAGAGGAAGAGTTCTTAGGATGTCCCCACCCACCCCAAGCGGGCAGTGGGCGGAGGGTCTGGGGGCACAGCCCTCAGTGCAGCTAGAACAAGGGCTCCGCTCCGTGCCCCCCACCGCCCGCTGCCTCAGGCATTCCCTCCATGGAGGGAGCCCTTAATCAGCTTAACGACAACCCACAACACTCGGACCAACTTGGAGGGAGCCCTTAAGACCCTTCTGCCCTCAGGATCCAGGACCCTGACCAATCGACTGGCCTGTGATGGGCCTGCGCTCCCTAGGTCCCCAGAGACCCTTCGGTCTGCCCTTGTGGGAGCTCCAGGGACCCACCGCCCCACGCGACCTCCCTCCGCAGCTCTGCGCCCACCGACCCAGGGCCACAGAGAAATGACAGCGCGCACCGAGAAGTTTCAGTGTTTTATTAACAAAAGCTTACAAAAGTCTGTCTTCAGGTAAGGTGGCGAGGGGGGGGGAGGGGGGGACACGCACACAGCTTGGCCTGACATCAAGGCCTGATCCACTGGGGACAGGGAGGGCTGGCCACACCCTCCTGAGGACCCCGGGGCTCCCTGCAGCCCATGCCAGCTCGTGAGTATGGGTTATGGCTTATGTGCAAAAATAAGATCTGGGGGCTGGCAGGGGTGCGGGGTGGCGGCGCGGACAGCATCACCTGCAGACATCAGTCTTCTGAACCCGGGAACCCCCACTAGACAGGCGGAAAGGAGAACCCCAGCCAGGGCCTGATGGGGCTGCAGGCGCTGCAGACGCGAGTGGCCGGTGGGCACCGGGGTGCTGCTGTCTGGGGAGGTGGGGGTCTGGGCCCCGGCAACGGCGGGGCCTGGCCGAGAGCCCGCTTACGCCCCAGGGGCTGGGACCTCGCAGGGCTGGGGCCTCGGCGTCAGAGCTTCTGGAAAGCTCTGGTGGGAGAGGACGGCCACCGCAGGAAGGGCGATGGCGGGGGGGGGGGGTCCTGGGCTGGAGCAAGGCCGGCTCCAGCCGCTGCGGACCCGGGGGCGGGCAGGCTGGTGGCCAGCGGGGCAGGCCGAGCGGCAGGCCCGGGCCCTCACGCTGGCCCGTCTCCAGCACCAGCTCTCCGCCGCGCTGTCCTCTCCGCAGCCCCGCTCGCTGACCTCAGCGTCCCCTCCTCCGGCGCAGGAGGCTCGGGGACGAGAGGGCGGGGCGTGCCTGGCGGGCGGCAGAGGCGCTGTGGGAGCCTCAGGACCTGAAAGAGAGACTCGGGGGTCAGGGGCAGGCCGGAGGCTGGGACGGGCTCCACGGGAAGGGTGTGGGAGGTCGTTACGGGGCGGCCCCTCGGGGCGCTGCTGGGGGGGGGCGCTGGGCCTGGGATCCCGGGAGGGACAGCGAGGGACAGTGTCCCAGAGGGAGGGCTGGGCCCCCATTACCTGTCGTCACTCTCCCGGCTCCTCAGCTGAGTGTGAGGGTTCGGGCCCCGTGGGACCCTCCGCCTGCCGTGGGTGAGTCATCGAGCCCAGCCGATCCTTTTCCAGGCTGGTGTGAATCACTGGTGCTGAGGAGAAAGCGCGGGGTCGAGTGAGAGCCAGCTCGGCAGCCTCCCAGCCCCGCCTCCCGCCCCAGCCCTGCTCCCTGACCCCGGGGGTTTCTGCAGCCCCCATCACACCACCCCTGCAGCTAACTGGCTGGGGACGCCTCTGAGCCTCAGTGGGCTCACCCAGAAAATGGACCTGGCCCTGGGCCCTCCCTGCTCTACGGCGCCCCCCCCGGCGGCGCTGCCCTGCGGCAGGGGCTCACCTGAGGGGCCAGGAGACACCAGGACGCCAGGTCTGCTGCTGCCGCCGCTGTCGCCGCGTCTTTGGCCTCCGCTTTCCTCCAGGAGGAGGGAGCCTCGCTGCCCGAGGCTGGCCGGCTGCCCGGGGCGGCGACAACGGCGCCAGCCGGCCGCGCAGCAACTGCCAGGAGGAGGCGGCGCGCCGAAGCCAGGGTCCCCGCAGCAGCGGCCTGTCTGCGCTTCTGTTCCGGGGTGTCCCTTGAGCTTGGAGCTCACTGGCCTGTGCTGTCCGGACACTTGGTCTCCAAGTGCCGGGGGCCCCAGGCGCAGAGCGGGAGATCACAGCCTGGAGGTCAGGTCATGGCCTGAGAGTGTGCGGGGTGCAGTCAGGGGCCGGGAAGGACAGACAGGAGGAGGGCGACGGGGCAGGGGCCCAGCAGGACAGCGGGCCCCTTCGCTGTTTGGGGGGTGCTGCCCACATCTGGATGATGCGTGGCTGTGTGAGTCCGGCGGGGGGGGGGGGGGGGGGGGGGGGGGGGGGGGGGGGGGGGGGGGGCAGAGGTGGGGCGCCCAGCCGGAGGAGGCCGAGGGCTCTCCCCCGAGGGAGTCAGCCCGGCTCGGCAGTCCTGGCTGGCAAAGGCCACGGGCAGGTGTGGTGGGCGGGCTGGGACCCGGGCCGGCCTCTATTCGGGCTGGGTCCGGTCGCTGGCCACAGACTCGCTGGTGAGGGCCGGCGTGAGGGTCTCGGCCTCCTCGTCGGCCGGCAGCGGGGGGCCGGCTGGCTCCGACGCCTGCTCCAGCCCGTCCTGAACTTCCTTGCCCCTCTGGATGAGCTGCTCCAGGGTCTTGGGCAGCGGGTGGCGCAGAAAGCGCTTCAGCTTGGGCTGCAGGGTGCCCACCACGTACTGGATGATCTCCTCCTCCTCGGCGTCCACGTACAGCGTCTGGTAGAGGTCCCGCTTGCGCCACAGGAACTGGTCCAGCGGCTCCCCCTGCTTCTGCGGCAGGTCCAGCTCGCGCTGGATGGCCTCCCGCGACAGCGTGCCCTCGCTGTACTGCAGGAATTCCTTCTTGAACTCCACCCAGTTCTTCACGGAGCCCTGCTTGAACTCCCACCACTTCTTGGCCGGCCCGTTCATGTGGTTCTGGATTTGGGACAGCCAGTACTCCTCGGAGCCGCCCACCTGTCGCAGGTACTCCTCCAGGTGGCTGAGGAACTCCCTCGGGTCCTCGAAGATCTGCGTGTCCACACCGGGGCTGGGCTGCCCGTCCTCGCCGGGCGCCCAGGGCGGGTACTGCTGGGCCTCCACGGCCTCCTGCCCGGGCAGCTCGCCGGAGGCCGGGGGCGGGGTGATGGCGTAGGGGCTGACCGTGTAGTCGTAGCCATCGGCGTCGTGGCAGTAGCTCTCGGGACCCCCGACGCCCACGGACACGGTGTGGCGGGCCGGCTCGCTGCCCACCGGGTACTTGCCGCCCATGGACTCCAGGCGGTCGGCCCACCTCTCCAGCCGGTAGAAGACCTCCCGCCACACGTGCATCTCCCGCTTGACCCAGCGCTCCAGGTTGGCGATGGTCTCCTGGCAGCGGCACAGGCAGGCCTTGATGGACTTCTTCCAGCGCTGCGAGTCGCCGGTGGGCACGTAGCCGTCCAGGTTGCTCTCCAGCTTGCCCACCGAGCGGTGCAGCCCCTTCAGCTCCCGCTCCACCTGCTTGGACACCTCGGTCAGCAGGTGCCGGTGCGTCCTCCGCACGTGCTCCAGCATCTCGGCCCGGCACTTACCGATCTGCAGGATCACGTTGGGCTTGGCGGCCGGCCCGCCCCGCGGCCCGGGGTAGGCGTGGAGGCCGCCGCTCGTCATGTGGTCCAGCTCCATCGGTGAGCAGGCAGGTGGCCGCGGCGCTCGGACGGGCGGGAGGCGGCGGGCTGCAGGGTCCCCCGGGGCCACAGCGGCGCGGCGGAGCCGGGACGGTGCCCTCGGTGCGGCGGCGGCGGCGGCGCAGCGCGGGGAGCGCGGCGGGGGAGAGCAGGGAGAGCGGCGGAGGAGAGCAGGGAGAGCGGCGGAGAGCGGCGGAGGAGAGCAGGGAGAGCGGCGGAGAGCGGCGGAGGAGAGCAGGGAGAGCGGCGGAGAGCGGCGGCGCCGAGCTCTGCGTCCAGCCGCCGCCGCGGGCTCTTTATGCTGCCGGCGCGGCCGTGGGCGGGCCCCTCGCCGAGCCCCCGCTCCCATTGGCCCCGGCCAGGCGCCCCGCCCCGCGCGCCCCGCCCCCCACGCCCGCCCGCGCTCCCGGCGCCGAGGGAGGACCCACCCCCTGCACGCGCCACCGGCCGGGGTGACTAATCCTCCGGCTGGCTCCCGGCGCCCCCTCCCCGGCTCATTCAGCCTGCGGGGCGAGGGAAGGTGCCGGACCCGGAGACACGCCCCTGCCCGCGACCGGCAGGGAAGCGCAGGTGTGTGCCCCCCGGGGCCCGGGGCAGGTCCTTAGCTGCCCCCACCCACCCAAAGGTTAGGAGGAAGCCCTTCCCCCAGGGTTTCAGCGTCCGCCGCCCCCTCTCTGGTCTCGGTCCTTCCTAGGGGGCGGGGTGGTGCTTGACTCCGCTCTCCCGGGGCCTCGGCGCCCCGACCCCTGCCTCGGCCCAGCCCGGTGGTGCCGGGTCTTGAGCCGCAGATGAGCCCCGGCAAGGACCCCGACAGACACCCAGACCCCTCCTTTCCTTGAGCTGAAGGCTTCCAGGAGCTCCCCTGGACGCGCTCCCGGGTGTCAAGGGTGAGTTCCCGGGGTGGCCTCCGGCCCCTGCCCACCCCTGCCCTGGGGGCCCTCGAGGCCAAGCTCCTCCATCCTCCGTAGGGGCGTCGCGCCTCTGCCGGGGCCCCTGACAATCGTGTGGACGTGTGACAGCAGTGCGGCAATGGCCGGGCTGGACTGCCCACCGCCCCCACTCCCACGCCTTTGGTGAGGCCCGAGACTCGTCCGGGTGGTGCCTCCAGAAGTCTGGAAGCTGCTCCCTGCGGGGAGAGGGGTGAGGGCATGTGGGGGAGATGAAGGGGTGCTGCTCTCTGAACTCCCCCCCGCAAGACACAGAGGGAACCTGGCCAGAAGCTCCAAGACTTCTGAGAAGATGGAAGGGGGAGGGGAGGGGAGGGAGGAGGGGAAAGGAAGGAGGAGAAGGAGGGGGGAGGGAGAGGGAGAAAGAAGGGGAGAAGGAGGAGGGAGGAGGGGGGAGGAAGGAGGAGGAGGAGGAGGTGGGGGCGGAGGAGAAGGGGTGCCGGCAGAGAAGCAAACACCATATAAGGAATGGGGCTCCGGAAGCCGAGATTCCCTCGGGAGGGAGGCCCCTTCTGCTTCCCTGGCAACAGTGGTGGGGAGGGACACCCGTTCTGGGTTACCCCAGACGGGCTGGTTACGGGTCCCAGGCCCTCCGATGGGCACAGCTAACACCCGCTGCCCACCGCCAGAGGCCCACAGACACGGCCAGTGAGTCAAGACACCGTAGCCCCCAGCTTCCCAGCCTCTGTCAGACACACAGTGCACACTCGCCCGTGCCCCCACCCCACACCCCTCACACACACCCGTCCCCACCATCCACCCACCCCCAGACACACTCATACCCCCCACCCACCCCCCAGTCACACTCATTCCCCCCACCCACCCCCCAGTCACACTCATTCCCCCCACCCACCTCCCCACGGGCACACTCATACCCCCACCCATCTCCCCACGGGCACACTCATAGCCGCACCTGTCTCCTCATCCTTGCCCAGCCCCCTGTGTCTGACTCACACTCTCTCTGGAATCCCCACTCCCTCCTCCCCCCTGCTCTCCTGGAAGCCCCCCCCCCCAGCCAATCTGTCTCCTTTCCCTCTCTGAGCGCCCCCCCGGGTGGGGGGAGAATGTCTCTCTGCAGAAGCTTGCCCCAAATTGCTCTCCTGGGGTTTCTAATTAGAGGCGAGTGGGTGGGCAGAGAAGGGGGGTTGGAGGGGCAGCGCTGAGTAGGGAGGGGAAGCCAGGCACAGAAGCTGCTAGAACAGGAATCCCAGGCTGCGGGAGTTCCTGGGAGCGGGAGGAGGCCGCAGGCCCGCATGCGGCCATGTGTGAGGTGTCCGTGCGGTGGTGGTGAGTGTGGCCCGGCCCACACGCGTGCCTGGCTGTAGCAGGGGCTGCATGTAGCGCAGAGTGTGTGCATGTCTGGAGTGAGCTGGGGCCCGTGTCTCAGGGCCGTTGTCAGGGAGGACCCCTGATCGCCGGCTGGGCAGAAACCACTCACGTGTGTGTGTGTGTGTGTGTGTGTGTGTGTGTGTGTGCGTGCGTGCATGTAAGTGCAGTGGGCGTGCCAGAGAGCCAGCACCTGAATGGCCAGTGGCATAAAGACTATGTGGCTCCTGTGACACTCAGGCCCAGGTCTCCTGACCAGCTGGGTGGCCCTGGCCAGGCCACAGCTCTCTGGGGCTCTGCCCCACGGTGACCTCCAGCCCCGCTGCGCCCCACAGCCCAGCGGCAGGCCTTCCCGCAGACGGGAGTCCAGCCGGGGCCCAGGGGGTGGGGGGCGGGGGGCTGGGTGAGCACCACCTTTGTAGGGGGGCCCCTCGGCGCCCCCTCTCCCGCAGCCAGACCGGCCTGACGTGGGTGTGAGGGAGCACAGTCCAGGGAAGGGGGTGCTGGCAGGCCACGCGGAGGCTGGGCGGGACCTGCAGGGAGGCCGCGGGCTGCTGGCCGGCACAGGTGACAGCAACAGCCTCTGCTCGGAACACTTAATCGCCGTCCAATTATCGCCCCAGAAGCCCTCAGCAAACCCCCGCACTGGAGCCTTGGGCTCCACTCTTCCACTGCTGGCTCCCCACCTCCTGCCCTGCTCCCTTGAACCCCTTTCCCCCTCAAGCAGGGGTGAAGGCACAGAGTGTGGGCCTCCACCCCCGCCTCACACAGAGCAGGGCCAATCAGGGCTGCAGGTTGGGGAGAGGAAGGGGGAGGGGTTCGCTGCACAGGGAGGGAAAGAGAGCCTCCCCCCCCCCAGCCAAGCTGGCCAGCTGCTCCTTGAAACTGCCTTAGAAGGAGGGGGCTCCGTGGGGCAGGGAGGTCTGCCCAACACTGGATCCAGGCAGCAACAGCCCTCCCCCCACCCCCCCAGCCGTCCCCCATTCAGCCTGCTTTGGGATCCAACCTTCCACTAGGGTTCGAGGCTCCCAGGCCCTAGGTGCTGGTGCGTGATGCTAAGATGTCTGTTTCAAGGTGAGATCTCCCCCCCAAAGTCACAGCCTCAGGGAGCTACACCCCCCACTGCACCCCAAACAGCTGGGGCCTCTGCTGGCCCTGCCTTCCTCTGGCTGCTCTGTGACCCATTCCTCTCCTCCAGGGGACCCCCCCCATGCTGGCAGGTAATCCCCATCAAGACTGTCAGGCTGCGGGTGCCCTGGGGACTGCTCTCCCCTCCAATCTTGCCAGGAGTCTCCTGGGGCGACAGCCTCTAACAGCACTTAGCACCTGGGGTGTGGGGTGTGAGCACTGGCTCCTTTGGGGGCTTTCCGGCACTCACTCCAGCTGATCATCCATCATCGCCACCCCTTCTGGGCCTCTGCTGGGGACCAGCCCTGTGGCCCCATCCTAGTCCAGGAGAAGCTGGCGGCTGGGGGCTGGGCCGGCTACCGCTCCCCTGGCCACTCCTTGGCCTGTGGTCCCTCCTGGGTCCTGTGGCCTCGCCGCACATGTCACCAGAGCCGGTGGAGCCTGGAGGGAAGGCCAGGCCCATCCTGATTGCCCGGAGCCCCTGCAGGCCCAGCGCCTCCACCGGCACCTCCCCAGGAGGGGGAAGGGGGAGGGGGAAGGGGCTCTGCTCTGCTGCTCCTTCTCCGTCTCCCCGAGGCAGCACTGGGGTGGGGATGTCTGCCCCGGGTGACTGCACAGGCCCCAGCGATGTGGGGTGGGATGTGGGGGGAGCAGCTGGCAGGAGGGCCTGGGGTTTGAGCCCATCACCTGGGTCCCGCCCTCCCCCTACCTGGACCTCTCGCCCTGGAAGGGGTGGGGGGCAGGGAGGCAGGGCCAGGCCGGGGACACAGCGCATTAGAGGTGAGATTGGGCCAAGGTCAAAGAGGAAGAAAGGGTGGTGGGTGGAGGGGCAGGTTGCCGGGGCCCCAGGATAGCGGGAGGGACACGCTCCATTTCACTTCTCAAGGAGACTTTCTTCCATGTTTTCACAGATGTTCCAAGAGGTGGGGGCACCTGCAAATGAGGGGGGTCCCTAGGCCGCACCTGCCTGATGCACCTGCCACAGCGGGAGCAGCGAGCGACCCCCGGAGGCCCCGGCAGCTGGGGGCAGGGGTGTCAGGAGACCCCACAGTGCAGGGCACGTGCCTTGAGAGACCTGAGGGGGGTGCTGAGCGCTGGGAAGGGGGGCACGGAAACCCAGTTGTCTGAGTGAGCTCCCAGAACCCAGGGAACATTTCCTTTCCGATCCTCCCCCCGCCCCTTCCAAACTTCCTCTTCTCTGCGGTTTGGCAGGGTGTGCCTGCTGCGTCCTGTCCCTGGAACAGGCAGCCTGTTCTGGGCCCCCACACACCAGACCCTCTCCCCCTCCCTCCTTCCTGCCTCCTGCCTCAGTGCCTCCCTCCCCATCCAGGCTCCTCCGAGGACAAGTTTTGTATTTTTCCGACGATGCCGGCACCCCGTGTCCTGCAGGCGGCTTCCCCTCCGGCCTGGAGGTCAGGCCCCCGAGCTGGAGTCCAGCCGCACCACCGCCCTCGGCCTGTCCAGACGGGGAAGGCAGGGCCCAGAGAGGGCATGGACTTGTCCAAGCTCTACAGCGAGGGAGCTGAGCCAGGGTGCCCTGGTGAGGGCGTGCAGGACAGGCTGCGGGCTCCTGGGGGCGTTCTCGAGCTCAGTCTGCGCCCTGTGCAACCGTGGGTAAGTCCTCGAAAGTAAGTCGTCTCAGCCCTGCCC